CAAATTTGTCCGCTAAAACGAAAGTTGTTAATCTTGATATGGTTATTTCATAACTTGCTGTGTGATGGTGATGGATGATGGATGATGATGAATACTTCAGCCAAGCTTTTATTAATCTAAATATCTATGTGAATGCCTTGGTTTTCTCATAGTCATAACTTTCCATTGGTGGACATGTACAAACAAGATGTTGATCGCCATGTTTGTCGTCTACCCTTGAGCACCCTGGCCAAAACTTAGTGTGTCCTTTAAGCCATGGCTGAAAGASAATWAATCAGAAYRAAATTTACAACCATTAAACACTGAATCAGCGRGGAGAGACATAGAATACAAAAATAATCACACTTTGCCTACAATTGACATTGACTTTACGTGTGATAGAGCGGATTTCGYATGAGTGGGAAACGGACGGTACTGTACTGTGACCGTAATCGTACTGTAACCAAATTCTAGTGCCCCATTGGTTCACAAAAATTGTGCAGGCCAGGTCCGGTAACTGTGCGGTAACGGTGTCCCACTCATACGAAATCCGCTCTATTGCAACGTGTTACTGTAACAAAGTTACAATTTCACAACACGACACCCACTCGGTAGAATATCGTGCCCCCTGTACAATGTTGTGTGGATATTTTGTCATTTCTTTTCTTTTTCCATGCTTTAGTACCATTACATCGTGTACAACAACAACATTGACCGTGGGGGAGATGGGGAGGGAGTGTAGGGCCATGTCGTCAGTTGAAAACGAACATGATGTGCAAAGTCGAGTTACTGTTTATTGTCGTGTCCAAATGTATATTGTCCATGATTGTAGCTACAGCAGACGCTACAGCACCATTTCAACTTGTTTCATACCAAAAATAGAGTTAACTAAAAAACATGGTAGGTATTAAAAAGTCCATTTCATCCACGAAGCAAAGAAATTAGTATATATTTCTCTAGTCAGCGATATATTATAATACCATACTAATTTTTTGCTCTTTCGCGCTTCCTTTCGCGCTTAGCTTCGAGATTTTAGCCTTTCTTTGAAAATGTTGGTCCTTTTTGTCAATAAGGAGTATACTTTGTTTTTTTCCCTAGTTCTAGTATTGATAATAAGACCATATTATGATGACTTACAGCTGGATATGCAGCCACCTCTCTACTATAAGGGTATTCCCATCTGGTTGACATCACGACATCTTGAGGATGAGGTGCATTCTACAATGGAAAGTGTTTGATAAGCCTTTGTTATATACATAACACATCAACCTGATCATTTGCAGACAATGCTCGACTCTCTTATGAATAAACTGAATCACATGATATTAGAAAACAAATCTTAAGTTTAAAATGAACAAATCAAAGTGAAGAAATAAGAAATAAATGTCAGATTTGATGGATGAATAACGGAATACATGAAATAAATTCACCTGAATAAATAAACAC